ATTTACATTCATGTTTACCACTCCCATGTATTTTCCAGGCTTCATGTAGCATTTTAAAAACATTTACTTCTGTAAATTTCACCTGTGTTTGCTATTCTGTCAAAATATTTTTATTAGCTTTCATCATAGCGAGCAATAAGAATCAAACCTGACAGCAAAGAGTTCAAACAGGAATTTTCAACAGCAAATTACAATTTAGCAGATGATAACTCTAGTTCACCTTCCCAGTTAATCCTGAAGTTTTGCATGAATAGTTGCACATAGAGGAATGGACTCTTTCTTCTGGATTTCACACATGCTACACACTGATCCAATGCAAAAAGAAAGCCAAGTTTGAAGAAAATCTGTTCATCGATTCTGAAGAAATAAGCTTTACACTACCAAAACACAGTCTCAAGTAATTGTTGTCGTTCGCTAATAATTTTCCCAATTCCACTTTACTATCTACCAGAGGAAGAGATCCCACTAAAAATACATTCTATGTCTCTTCAAAGAGACAGAGGAAAAGAGAAGAAAGTAACTCTCAAGGATATGAGATGGTTTCTAGCTAATAGAGGTTATAACTGTTCCACTGATTACCTGCAAATGCTTGAAAAGATCCCGGTAGGGCAGTGTTACTTCACACTTAAACAAGTGTTCTACTTTTCATTTTTTCTATTTTCCTTTAGCAGATAATGTTTCACATACTGAATTAACCAACTTCAGGATTTTTGAAGAATCCTATAACATATGCTTTGTCTTCCACACAAGAAAAGCTGCCTCAAGAGAAGATAACTCTTTGGAGACCTTGAAAATTAACCTCTGAACTAAGAATTTGTACAACAGGAAATGCCAATATCGAAGGTTTGTTTTTTTTTTCTTGCCATAATTAAATATGAATTTCATTTTGTTCTGCCATGCTTTTTTTTGAAGTTGTAGTAGGCTGAACAACTATATCTGGAACCAAAACCTGTCAAATTACAACAAATTAAATAAAACATTCCCTACCAACACCCATGGCAGCAAGTATATACGAAAACAAAATCTGAATTAACAAATGAAATAAAACATTCCCTACCAACACCTATGGCACCAAGTATATACGAAAACAAAATCTGAATTAGTTATCAATTCAAACTGAAGACTAGATTATTTTCTTTTATTCATTACTTGGCCATCTTTATAGGTCCACAGCAGAAGAGAATCACCATACAACTCAATGAACTCCAAAATTAAACAAAGAAAGCAAAATTTTAATTGCACTATGTAAAAAAAAACCCTCTGCTTTTTGATCACATATAGTGAGACATAAATTTTAAGTGCTTCTGGAGATGATGATGTGATAAAGATGAGGACACTTTTACAGATGCTTTGAAACTTACTTTACTTTTTCAATTTATAGATAATCTATCCATAGTTAAGGGACTAACTGTTACATTTTCTCCTACAAACTACTAAAATCAGACACTACCCAGCAGTTTAAACAACATAAGAAAAAGCTGCATCTATTTAATGGCTGCAGAACTCAGGACAGAGGCATTAAAATATAAAAATATCATACAAGAGTTAAAAATCCTACTGCAAGAATATTAACTGTAATAAAAGAGAAGACATTAAAACCAGCAGCTAGTTAGGTGCCAGTACATAATAGAACCCATAAGGACAGGCAAAGAATGATGCTAAGTTAGGAAGAAAGACTGTTTTCAGAGAACTTCCTGACAGACACCACAACAAAGTAGCATGAATGGTGACTGTGTGGTCCCTTCTCGTAAATAAATCAGGCGTCAAAGGTTGATCTGCAGTTAATAAGAGGCCTAAGCCTTCTCCAAGGATTTGTAGTATTCTGTCAGCACAGTCCAAGCCTTAGGAGCCATGAAGCCTTCCGGCGGGTTTTGTCCTTCTCGAGCCAGTTTGCGCATGCGGGTCCCCGAGATAAACTCAAAGTCTTCGTGGCTGAGAGAGGAGGAGTGGGGAGAAGGAGGGAGAGGAGCAAGGGGAGGAAAAAAAAAAGAACATACTTTAAAAGGAGGCAAAGTTGCTCATATTCCTTTTGCTTTCTTGATACTTTATACATTTCTTCTTGGAAGTATTAACACGGTAGAGCAAATGTCATTTACAGACATTTGGTCAGCAATGCCAGCAAATCTCAAGCATATACGCTCTACCATATTCATCTTAGCTAACTCCTGAGGTTTGGCACCATGGTCCAACTGAACTCCTGCAGACTGAATTCAGCCTGTGCTTCCATTGAGACTGGCTCACACTCTATGAGGAAAACGTAACTCCTGTTGAGAGAGAACCATCTACTCTAACTACTGTCTCAGCCCTCTGTCAAAGCAACAGCATCCATCCTATTTTGCACCTTGCCTTGCCGTGGCAGGAGACCAGCCAGGAGATCTGGCTGAATGTTCAACTGCTGGTTGAAGAAGGTCATTTCAGTGCCACTAGAGAACATGTAAAGAAACAACATTGAATAAAATCTTAGTGAGGGATTGTTTGCAGCACAAAGACAGTAAAACCCTGAGAACCTAGAGGCACACTCTGCAGCTGGGCCATCATGACACACTGAGCATACATACACACACATATACATATATATATATGCATATCAATAACATGGCAAATACAGTCAAAAATAAAGAAAAAAGCTAGGGAATAATAAAAATACCTTCCCCTAAAGATGTTTTCCCCCAAACCCCAGAATTCAGCTGGACAAATGCATAAATGAACACAGATCAAGACTGTTTAACACTGTTAATGTAAGAATCTAAATTAATATTAACTTCTCAGGTATGTGGTCATAAGCAGCAAAAGCTCCATAAATTAAATTACTCTTCACAGGATTGAAACAGTAAAAGAGAGACAAGAATGCCAGAGTTCTATCAAATGCTCCAAAGTAAAAAATCATGTATTCTTAAATTAAATATGCAATTTTACTTATGCTATTTGCTCAATTTGCCACATGTATGCATTACTAAATCTTTACTTGTCTGTTTGAAATAAAACACAAGTATTGATCTCAGATGCACATGCCTCAGACAGAACAAGAGCCAAGTGTGCACATCAGAGGGCAGAACTTGGCTCTAAGTTTTGGGCTATGCTCAGCAGGGTATGGAAGTTAGCAAGATGCAGAAAGCATTCCACAGTTCCCTTTCACAACACCACTAGCCCCATAACTTTTTGATTTGTACATTTACATTTGCTTTATACATTTACACAGCAGCACTGCCATACATGCTCTTTTCTTCCTGCTTTTAATTTGGGACTGTGGGTTCCTAAAGTGCCACAAGGCAAAAAAACCCTACTGTGCTTCAGTCTTGCAAAATATAAATTACATAAAAATGAAAACTTAAAGCTGATGTAATTCCATGGCAAAAAAAAGTTGTCACTGCTATTTATAACATCTGAAAATTTTGTTCCTTAGCAGAGAGACGTCTGCAGTTCACTAACAGTGCCTAAAGGTAACTTGCATTCTTTGCAAAGAACTGTTTCTATAAAATATGTGTAGAGAAGTGATCAGCCTAGTTAATTCTGTCAAAAAAATACCAAGTCTTCAGATGATCAGGAACAGAAGAATAAAGCAAGTGCTATAAAGTTTCCCCATGTGTTGCTTTCTCCACAGTGTGGTAGGAATACCTAAGTTTGAGCATCAAAAAAAAGCTGCTTTATCCCCTCCTTGTTTGTTTAATTTTCAGAAAAACACTCAACTTCCTCCCATGCCTCACATGTAAAATAAAGGTACTAAACCACTAAGTTTAGATATGTCATATATAAGTTTGCTTCAATAAGACACACAATTGCTTTAACTGCCTTTATCCTTAGTTGCATGAAAAGCAGCTAGGAATTGAAGATGTCAAGGAAGAGAGAAACACAAAAAGAAGCTAAGGACATCTACAGACACCATAAGAAAATAGAAAAAATAAATTAGGATTATTTCAGAAACATAGTACATTCAGCACCTCATAGCATTTCAAGAAATGTTTCCAAGATATTATTAAAAAGTACAAAAGTACTAATGATGCCCTCTCATTACTCTGAACTTCTATTTTGAATTAGGGTTTTTTTGTTAAATTAGTTATTTAGTTAGTAATCTTGAAACAACACAGTAATTTTTGCCATTCTTAAAATAACTACACTTGCCATTTTCTGGTTTAATCTCTGCCTTCAAACATAGAACAGATTACTTAAACAACTACTCAATACTCACTGTCTCTACTAATGGCAAAAATCAAATCTCTTGAATATCAGAAATGGAGATTTCCACTAAGCTGGAAAACCTTATCAGTACTGTCACCACTGTGGTGTGATGTGAACCACAAGCATTTTGAAATAAAACAAATCTGTACGAGTAATTTGCTTTAGTGGAAAGAGAAAACAAAAAGTCATCAAGTCATTTTGTTCATAGTGAATTCTGAGGATATTAGAAGTTACTCATACGATGAATTTGAACAGAATATGAGAGGGGGAAACATTTGACTACTAAGGACACTATGAAATATAAATGCAAAAGCCATCCAAATTCCATTCTCAAATCAGATTTGAAATGACTCTCAATGAAACTTAATCCAAGCCTTTTCTGAGCATGGTACTTCACTGCCTTTGAAATTTTTATTCAGTGGCTGCTGGAATTAGCTTTCTTTGAGTCACACTGTATGCTGGTAAATGCTTGTAACAGTGATTTGACCTTTTACTACCAATTGAGTTTGACTAGTACTGACATAATTCTTTCTGCCAATGCAATTGAAAGTATTCTCTAAAAGAAAGAGAAGACAGAAATCAATCCACAACAAAAATTTGTCAACAGAAAAACAGTCTTGAAACATATTACATTGAGGAATGGTATTTGCTCTGTGGCATAGCATCCTAGAACTCTACTACACTCACAATTTGGAAAAAGCCTTACCTACACACACTGTGAAATTTCCTTACTTATGGAGGACAGGGCCAGATAGGGCCAGGTAGAGAGAAAACACATAACTTTGCTGAGTTCTCATACATCTAGCAAAAGGGGAAAAGGAATCTTCTTACACTGTGCCCTCATTCCACACAGACAGCTCTATGTATAGACTCACAGGTGCACAAGATAATATTTTATATTTGGAAAGCAGTAAGTGATTTATTCATGATAACACAGGAACAAATTTGTGCTGTGAATTAATCTTCAAACTGTTTATAGTAACTGAGCACCAGGCTCAAGGAATACTACAAACCATACAGAGAAGATTAAGAATTCAAAGACCAGATCTTTCCTTTCTTTCATTCAAAAAAGACGAATGTTTTAATCTGTTAAATGGATTTCCCTTTCTTTACATGTATTTGGTAGCTATTTTTTACTATAACACCACAGGTGACCCCAGCAACCATGACAGCTCTTTAAGCTTTGTTAAGAGCTCAAACATTCAAAGAGGGGTGTGTGAGGCCAAGACTTGAGAGACCTTACAGTTCTTGTGACAACACAAAGATACCACCAGTCTGCAAGTGGGAAACGACTGCATGAAGATGTCCACAGTCCTACAGGAAACCTCCTCTGCTAGATCTTGGAGGTGTCAATACAGTGCCCTGATATAGTGACTGAAGAGAGTACTTTTTGCACTTCAACATTCCCTACAGGTTTAAGCTAAGTACAGAATGTATTACATAACAGAATTTTCATTTGGAAGCACTAAAGATCAGTCATAACCTTAGGAACCCTGAACTTCTCTTTGGCTGTCTGTGACTGTGCAAATGACCTTCTTGGAATTCCCATTCTCTGTGGAGGGCAATGTCTGGTGCTCTTGGGGTCCTGAGAAACTACTCCTATATACAAGACTCATGATAAAAGTACAGACCATTCATACGCAGTTTTCCCTATTCATTTTTTAAAAAAACAAACATATGGAAATAAAACAATAACATCACTTATTCACACTGGTCTGGCTTCAAAACAATTGTCATGTTCTACTCAGCTGGTAATCTGAATAATTTCTAGGACAATTCATAGCCTCCTTACCTGGGGTCCAATTCTAATCTTAAACCCCTTTTAGAAGGAGTTTCTCCAAATTTAAATTTGGCTTTGTAGCTTCAAGTCACAGCTAACGCTGTAACTCCTACAGGAACACAATGTTGTCCCTTACAGTGTCAAGTCTTTGATATATCAGTCTAAATTATGCCTTGGGAATGAATGGGAATGCCCCATGATGCTGAATGAACTGGCTAGTGTAAGCTAGGTTCAAATCCTAACTGGTCATGAATAAACTCTTTGTGAAAATGCACATAATAATGTGATTAATAACAACACATGCAAAACAAACCCTTTACCTGCCATGAATGAATTTCCTTTCTGACTGGCAGGAGGGTTTAACTCTCCTGAGCTGCTGTGGTGTTTCAGTTTTTCTTAAATTATGTACTAATGGTAATTGAAAAAACATATTTCACATATCTAAATTAAGGAGGACAGTCAAGTGTGGCCATCTCAGCCTCTTACTATCATTTAAAAAAATACAAATTTGAGAACAGTGTATACATAGTTGGAGTGGCTGTCCTGTAAATAATATTTGATAGTGTTAAAGCAGTCACTGCAAACATACTAAAGGTCATGGGAATAAACCATATAAAGTTAAAATCTCTCTTCTTCATAGATACCCATGCTTCATTCACATTTTACATGAAGCATGAGCAATCTGCTCCAGTCACCTTACTTATGGGGTTTTTTTGAAATGATCTCATCTGTTTTCTTTCCGAAAAAAAAAAAGAAGACAATTTTTTTTCAGACAGTGCTGTGGCTTTTTTAATTGCCAGACTAATATCCGTTCTTAATTGAGTTTTTTCTCAGCAGCAGTCTGTGGCTGCATTTTATAGGACTGATCTTCCGTAAAGAATTGGGAATTTCTGCTCACAAAACCAGCTACTATTATTAAGCCACCAATCCCAGATCACACTTCTCTGTGGTAACTGTGAGGCCTTTTTGGCTGCAGAAACACACTGTTTTTCTGAAGGGATTTCAGCATTGGGTAGGGTTTCTTGCAGGGCAGTGGTGCTATTTGCTGGTTGCTTGGTACTTTGGTTGTTGTTTTCTTTACACTTCACTCTAACAGTGGTTCATAGGTCAGACATTCATTTGGAATTTCTCCCTTACAACTAGAATTCTTCCTATAAACTTTTTCAAAACACATTTTAACTGATTCAATTATGGATCCAAACTTCTATGAAAACTAAGTATAAAAAACCTTGATAAGCACTGTAACAATATTCATACTAGTTTTTATATGCATTACTACTTGAGAAGTGAGCTCGGGAAATATTTCTACAAATATCACTATTTCATATTAAAGGGTCTTCCACCAGTAACAGATCCTCTCACATTTCCAGACAATCTCTCTTCCCTGCCATCCTCCTTACAAAGTCAAACACCACATGGTCCAGGAGTCTGTCACATTTTCAGCATTACACAGAGTATCTTGAAACTCAGCCAGCTGCACCCACCCAAGCTCTAACTCTGTCTGGAGCCTACCACAGAGTTCTGTCTCTGGCAAGCAGAAGCAGCAATGGCTCTTTTTCCAGGGAGCCTGTGTGTGTCTGCATTGCCATCTAGAGGACTGCTGCCACACTCCAGTCCATCTACACACAATGTCTAGGGAAGGACAAGACAAATGGGTCTTATATTCTGATACCAACAGGGCAGAACTGCACACTAGTAGCAGCATGGTCTTTTTATCATGACAGTTAGAGAAATAGGAGAAAAAAAATGCCCCAAACTAAGGTCTCTGCAGGCATGGTGAAAGGATAAAAGGGTGCACATGGTGCAGTCTCTGACAAAAGGGAAAAATCTGTTACCACAGGTTTTGGTAAAAAAATCTCAGTTGTTCTTTGAATCATTTCTTCTGGCTAATGACAGAGGTACAATTTTACTCCCCTTGATCTAAATCGAATCTATCCTGCTAAGAGTATAGTATCAATGATCACAGAATCTGTATTCTGAGTTTTGGCCTCTGACATTGCTACTCCCTTCTATTCCAATTTATTAAGAACTGACACACCAATAAAACTATTTCACTTCAATCTTTCTGTATTGAAGCACGACCAGCAGGGTCCAGGAAGGTTATTCTTCCCCTCTACTCTGCTCTGGTGAAACCTCACCTGGAATACTGTATACAGTTCTGGAGCCCCCAACAAAAGAAATCTATAGACCTGCTGGAGTGAGTCCAGAGGAAGGCTACAAATTTGATCAGAGAGCTGATGCACCTCTCCTATGAGCAGAGGCTGAGAGCTGGAGTTGTTCACTCTGAAGAGAAAGCCCTGAGGAGACCCTATAGCAGCCTTCCACTACCTAAAGGAGGCTACAAGGCAGTTGGAGAGGGACTTTTCACAAGGGCATGTAGTGACAGGACAAGGAGGAATGGCTTTAAACTGAAAGAATGAAGGTTTAGGGAAAAATTCATTACTGTAAGGGTGGTGAAGCACTGGAACAGTTTGCCCAGAGATGTTTGTATTTCAGTACTAACTTCAACTGTTGTTTGTACAAAAGTACAGTTCTATAATCTGAATAAAGAGGTTGAAACTAAAATGATGAGTCATCTTTCCAGTCTCATTCATTGGTAGAACTACACATGCAGTGAGTTTTGGACCCTGCTATGCCACACAAGTTAAAAATAATATTGGAACATGCAGAAGGTGAAATTAACTGTCCTGTAATTGGACTAAAAAAAGAAAAATAAGAGCTGAAAATTCTGGGACACACAATGGTCTTAGGGCAATATTTTGCATTATTAAATGGAACAAATAGCTATTTGTCAGCCCCTCTTGTCCACTTTCTTATCCATGCTGCACTCTTTCATTGTTTCTCTTCCTTCAACTCTGATGCACATCTGACACCTGAGAAGCATATTTAGAAAGATAAAGCAGCAGAATCTGTGCCAACATGTTCCAGAATTAGAGAAATGCCCTTGGGAGTTTCCAGTGGCAGCTAAAGTGACATCACATAGTTGCACTGTGAACCTGCACCCAAATCATGCTGAAATCAAGCTGCATTTTTTATCTAAAACCACATCTAAATGCTGCCATGTTTGAGCAATATGAATTTAATTACAAGCAATGTTTTTATGTGGGCATGGGGTAAAAGGCACCTATTGCTCAAAATGTTCTTAAAATGAAAATACAACTTACTGATCAGAGTCATAATAATCCATGCACTTCTTCTTTTTATTATAAGCTGCAACCCTGAAGGGCACAATTTCCAGTGCTCGGAGGCCTGGAGCCATTGTCAACACTTTGGCACCATGGGTTGGTTCATACAGATCTTTCCCAGTGTCAGGGTGTGGCATCCCTGCTGGATCTCGCCCTACAATGTAGAAGTTAGCTCCTGCAACCATCCGTGATCTGCAGTGCCACTGAACCTAGAACAGAGACAGGGAAAACAGTTAACAGAAGAAAACACTCAAAATCCAACCCTGAGAATGTGTATGCATTCTAGAATTACCATGTTTCCTGTAATCAGACATGATTTTTCCTATGGAGCTATAACAAAACAAAGAACCAAATAAGTGAGTCGCCATCAAACCTGCAGCTAAGCCATACTACTCCCCTGTTTCATTTGCACAATAGGTGCTCAAAAAATCACTTCAGCAAAGTGGAACAGTATAATCACAGCAAGCAAGACAGAACTTATCCATTTCTTCGCTCAGTTCTTCCTGATGTTGTCACCCTCCATCCCTTTCCTTTTCTATAAAAAGATTCAAGCAAAGGCACCTGCTCTGGGAATCTTAGTGGAATCTAGCTTTATATTGCTCTAGTTTAATCACAGTAATTTCTCTAAAAACACATCCTGACCAACAGACAGCTGACATACATCTTATTAGAAGACAAGATACGCTACTTAAACACAGTGCTCATGAGTAATCTATTAAACTTATATATGCATTCAAAAAGAAAAGTTACTCATGCTCAGCATTTTCACCTTGTACATGTGGCAAGGATGTTGTCCAACTTTAATATTTAGCCTGCATCAATACTAAGACCCAAAGGACATATAAACTAGGTCCACACTGCACATGAATGCTTGGAATAGGCTTTCAGAGCACTAAGACTGACTATTTATAAATAGTCACAAGCTTCCAAGATGAGAACTGATAAAGCAGCTCCAGCTTTGGTAAATATTTAGTCATTTTCCCCCAATCACTGTGAAATAACTTGATTTTAACACATCTATATGAACTGGGAAGGAACCAATGTCAAATTCAGAAAATTCAGTTTTACTGAATTTTTGCTTGGATGCACCCACTCACTTCCACCTAATGCCTCAAGTATTGTAGATATTGACACAGTTTTCCCACATGACTTTGTAGCATGTTTCAAAATGAGTGGTTTCAGAAGCAACAACTTGGTTTTTTACTTTTTTCTTACGGCTCAGTTATTACTGAAGGGCAAAAAAAAAGAAAATTAGACTTCAAAGGAAATTCTGGACACAGACTATTTAACCATCTCCACCTCACAACCAAAGAAATGCTTTTGAATTATTCAGAAATGCATCTCTTTCACTAAATATGGTGAGAGGACTTTTTCCTCCTAAAGAGGAAATAAATACTTTTCTCAGTATTTACTAGATACTCAACTGCTCGATACGTTACACTTATGACAGTTTTTCAGACTTATCATGTTATGTTTGTGAATTTTCTTTCTTAGTTTTATATGCAATATTTTTAATAGAAAATTTTACTGTACGGTACAGGAAAGTAACTTTTACATTACAAAAGACACACCACTTTGGAAAATATCAATATGCTTTCATACTGGGAAGTACTTCCCTAAAAGAACTGCCATACCATTATAGCTTAGTATCTGCCAAAGGATACTCAGAGAAGAGTTTTAAAAGACAGCAAGAATATAATAGTGATTTCTTGTATGTGCAGCCTCATCTTCATATGCAACTGAAAGGTTTACCCAGTAACTACATAATATAAAACAGCTTCACAAGTTGAACAACAACAAATATCTGTCAAAACATCTGACAAGCACTAAAGCACTATACCAGTGCTAGCTCACCCACACAGTAAAGAAGTAAAGAAAATTAGTCTCATCTCTCCATTAAAAAACCACAACATATAAACATCAGGCATAGCATAATACTTTAGTGCACTATGGAAAGGGTTTTGTTTAGTTTTAAATTTATGACGGATTTACCTCAGTTGGTCCAGCATACACTTACGATGGATTTACCTCAGTTGGTCCAGCATACATCATGGGGGAAGGGAATATAGCTACTACAGTTGTCTCTGGATTCAGGACTCCCTCCTCCAGCACTGCAGCATGTTGCTTCATGCGCCACATAAGGGGAACATCATCCTCCTTTGTCCAGCCTCCAAGTGGGTGCAAGAGTAAAACTGGGCGCCGGTAGCCACGTTCCAGAAGTTGCTTGTGAGTATCCTGCATTAAAAGAGCATGCCCATTGTGCACCGGGTTGCGTAACTGGAATGCAAAGACAGCATCTATGGAGAAAAAACAGACAGTTTTTTTATCAGCAGTAGTACAATCACAGAAAATTCTTCAAACAGTGCAGTCTTTCCTCTGAACTCTATTAAACAAGTATAATCACAGCAGTCATAGGCCATTAAATAATTACACATTACAAAATCATTGTACTTGATAAGCAAAATTAATAAAAAAGAAAAAACATGAAAAAGAGATAAATCAGCTTCCTTAATTTCTGAAATTTCTGCAGAATTACTCTGGTTTCTCTAATAGCTATTATCTTCTATTTGGACTTTTGGCTTGCACGAGTATATTCCAAGAGGAAATCAAACTATGCTACCTGTCTTAAAGGCTCAATAGATCATCAAGAGACAAATGGATGTTTGCAACAAAACAAGTAAAAGGGGATTTAATGTACCTTAGTAAGTTTCCTTCACCTAAGTAGATTCTGTGCACAGTAAGAACAAAGCAAGACTAGCTGCTATTTCAGAATATTACAACTCCTTCAATGAAAAACCCTGACACAATCAGGACTTCTCTCTTCTGCAAACTAAGATGAACTCAAGTACCCTGCAAGACAGCAAAATCACTATAACTGAAAGGTTTTCCAATAAGCAACCAATGAAACCTAGAGAACATGTTTTTTTCAGGTATGGAATATATATTTGTTTAGGGACTAGCTAAAAGAAAGACTGGTATCTCAGACCTACAGATCCTAGAAATACTGACCACACTGAGCAAAGGCAGGAGCTCAGGACCACCTGCAGTTTGCATTTCCATGTTAGTCTCTCTCCTCACACTTACAGGTGCTCAGCAGCTGCCTGCCAGTCACTGCCACAATGAAGGCAGCTTGTTTGTTCTCTGCCTTATGAAATTACTCAGCCTCTTATCTACCTGCCTAACTCAACTGCTTTTGTGAGAAAAACTGTATTGTTTCCACTGCAACATAAAGCTAGCAGTTCGCTCACAACTTTTAATTGTGATACAATCCACTTTGGATGAGCCTACTTGGATTACTTCCATAAACTTTGTTCTCCAGAAGCAGCATGGAACAGACTTCAAAATAGCAGGGCATGAAAGCTCAGCTCTCAATCATCCCCCCACAGTTTTAGCCAAACATAATTTTTAAATCACACTCTACCACATTTTAACATTATCTCTTCTTGCATTAGTGACATGTCTAGTGTGCATGGAAAGATAAATTCAGAACCTCAAGGCACTACCAGCTTCTATTATGCATTTAGGCAATGCAATGCCTGAGATGATAAAAAATCATTACAAGTAAAAGGCAAATGCCACGTAAGAGAGCATTCAAAATTTTCATCCTTAAAACAATGCTAGCCTCAGTGGTATTGCAGCAGCAGATGTTTGAATGAGTCTCTGCAGGAAGCAACAAAACAAGAAACTCACCAGCATTCATTTCCTTGAATTTCTGCCTTAGTTCAGCTGGAGTGAGACGATATTGATCAAGTCCATCATTCCAATAAATACGATCAAGGACCTGTAGATCTCCACCCACAAGCCAATTCCCTTGCTCCATAACCATCTAAGAAAAGAAAGGAGAGTCCACATCACGATTAGCTGTTGGCTTCTCCTGAGCATCTAGAACATCGCAATGGGGGCACAACTTTACCAACAAGGGAAGTGTTCCAGGTTATTTTTATTTGACAGCTGCAAGTCAAGCATCAATGTTAAAAAAAAAAAACTTTGACTGAAACAGTCCAGACATGTTATACCATGATGTATGACAGGCACAAATCTTCAGTAGGCATATGCCTTTCTTTAAAAATTAATGGTTTTTAACACATAGAAATGCAAGTAGCCAGTATTCTTAACCAGTATTATTACATAACAAAGACAGTGTCTGTAAAGCCTTATATATTGCAATTTATTTAGTTATTTTTTCCATTTAATTACAATATATTAATACAACCAAGTTGGCACACTTTATTGTTATTGGTCAAAGCAAATGCAGTTGCAGTATCACCCTGCAGTTTACAAGATTCTGGTCAGCAATAAAGTAACAAATAAAACAGTTCTGATTAACTATTCACTCAGTTTAATTTATTAATAAAGTCAGAATCTCTGCAGTAGAATAGCTTTCAAAGTTGTTTCATGGTAGCACTTTACTGAAGCAACATATGTTGTACATTCACCAGAATTCTTTCTGTATCTTTAAATATCACCTCAACCTTTATCAAAAAATAATTATGGCAAGCTGCTTAACACATTCTAGCAATGGCCATAAAAATAACTCCAAAATTGTTAATTCCTGATAATGCATTTGCTTTTGAGGATGGAACCACAAAAAACTTCTGAGTTTCATACACATTTCTGATAATTTTTTAGCCTTATGTAATGCAAAGATTACAACAAATGCTGCTATAGCAGAAGACACTACATACTAAACCCAGAAGCCAAGATGTGAAAATTAAGTGTGGATTTTTCAATTCATTTTTGTTTGAGATAATGGACCTCCTGGAATTAAATGATGTGACAGTAACCATTCCCATCCCAAAGAAAACACCAGACTTTGACATCTTACCAAGGTGGAAGGAAGATGTGATAAAGAACTCTGCCCTACAGAAACTGTCAAATATTTCTGGTTAATTAAGAAGGGCCACCAAATTCATGTGCTGTCATGATACTACTATACACACCAGTACAGACAGACATAAGAATATAGTTCCTTTGAAAATCTTCTATTAGTCATACAGATACTTTTAGAACACATCAAAGGCTTTCCCTTTTCAAGATGAAGCTCATAATCTGAGGTTTGTTTGATTTATTTTTATCTATTTTAAGTCACACCTACAAACAAAAAGATACAATAGAGACAAATGAAGAAAAAAACCCATATTTTGGCTCTGCAGAGCTGAGATCAAGCCCGGCATTGTGATGAGTATGTTGCAATTAGAACATTTCACTATGATATATACATAAGGCCAAGATAATTAAACATACTGGACATGGTGGATGCAAAAAAACTCCCCAGAGAGTTAAATGATGAACTCTCCAGGAACAGGGCCTGTTTCAAAAGCATGTAAACCAGGCAGGTCTCACGTGCTTCACATGCAGGCAGAATGGAACTTTTCTAGCCTTCACAACACATATATCTGTTGATTAAAGAGCTTTGATGATCCATATGGCTACACAAAGGGATGTGTTTCCCAGGCACACTGGATAGCAAAGTTCCCTCTTCTGCAGCACAGATTCTACAGTATTGTCTAAATTCACTTCATGTGTACATATTGGCATTAGATTTTCACACTAAGTGCAGACTATTCAACACCTGCACAGAAAAAAAAAATCACCTTCGTTTCTGCGCAAAAATTTTAATTCTCAAAGTAGTTTTGTTGTCAAAACACATCAGACACAGACATGAGCTTCACTTAATTTGCAGCTCCACAACAATACAGCTAATAGGACTACGTTTTCAGCTTCTAAACACACACCTTGATATAGGGATGCTCCTTGCATGTCGTTCCCCACTGCCGAGCACAGCGTTCCTCTTTCCTGTGCTCATAGAATTCAGGATTACGGAGAATGGCAACACGGCGACCTTCGTACACCAGGGCAATAGCTGTACACCCATCCAGTCTTTCTTTGTCTTCTTGGGTAGCTGTTAGCACTATAGGTACTGACAGATTAATAACTCCTCCTGCAGAGGAGAGGGGAAGAAAAAAAGAAGCCCTTATCCTTAGTAATGGTCATCAATGATATTATGAAAATCTACCTAATCTAACAGGTTACAATTAAGGCCATAAATGTACCACACAACAGGTAGTTCAAGTGCTTATTTTAACAGGGGTTGAAAGCAACTTTTAGAATGAACTCTTGCATACAATGTATGTGCTATAAAATTGAGCAAACACTGAGGGTTTGAGGAAGGGCAAATATAATACTGAAAATAGCAAGTACTCATAGCTGCACACACCTATTTAGACTGTGAGGATACTCCTTTTTGGGGGTCTCAAATTAATATCTTGCTCAAGAAACTAGAAAGTAAGGAGAAATACACAAATGACATTTTAAAATAGATCATCTAAAATATTAGGTAAGACTGCTATTTCCTTTTAACTAATTATCCACTCCAGTAGAATTCTCAGTAGCCATACTTTCAGCCCATAAGAAAAATTCAATGCGATAGAAGCAGACAATGTACCCAACTAGTTAACATACATAATTCAACTATAGCAAAAGATGACTTTTTCTCTTCACTTAAGACAGCATTCAGATTCAAGCATATACATTTCAGAAAAAAAAATCCTGCATCAGGCAAACATTTTGCATAGTTTGTTCAACTGAAAGCTTACCACCTACTTCACTTCTAAAACTAAGCCAATGCATCTGAATTTTAAGGTTATGTGTGGTCCTCACTTTTAAGCACGTACTTCACTGCCAGATGCTGGAAGTCTTGTTTTTCTTGACTACAAGAGTGAGATTTGAGAAACCCAGTGGAGTAAATATTTTGTCTCGTACAAAGACTTGAATTCTAATGAGCATACACTTATTGAATGAGTGCAAAATTTTTGGGTGGCCTTCAGGAGAAAAGTCATGGACCCCCTTAAGGTTAATGAAGGTTTTGCTATTTGCCAAGACTCTAAATAAGGCTAATTTTGCAGTTATTTAAGCAATACATTTTTTATTAGGAAATCAAATTAGTTAGGAAATTAAAAATGATGAAGCTGAATGAAAACTTTAAGAGAAAAATAAAAGTTCCCTTCCTTCATAAGGTAAAATGCATAATGCATGCTGTGCATCTCCTAAGTTCCATCTTGATGCTAAGAGTTATTTTCAAAGCAACTAGATCATAAAATCAGGTTTGACAACAGTCACAGAGACACCCCAAAATTGATAATTTAAGAAGTCCTTTTGCTTTGCAAACAACCAAATAAATATTTCAAACCAGGACAAGATCTCAAACCTGTTGATTATTAAAATTTCATCAGTAACAAATATATAATATTTCTTAGATTTGTCTTCTACCACTGTAAAATAAGAGACTGAGTCAAGGTAGTGAAGTGCATTTGTTAAGACACGGATGAGCACAGTGTCAGCATGAGACTTTTCCAAATAACTTAAGTTTCAAGGGAGAATATCAACACATCTACCCTGATTTCCACAGTGTAGAAGTCAATCAGTACAAACAATCCACTTAAAGCCCAAAGGATGAGATGCATTGCAGGTAATTAAACGATTTCCCTCTATTCCAAACCAAAGCCCTGGAAAATGACTGCTGCTGTAAGACTCCAGAACTAACATAACAGTCAGTGAGGAAACTTTCAGGCTGGTTTTTTGACTTAACTGTTGTCATAGCTACAAGTAGCAAAGCAGCAATAAGGCAATCCCATTTTTCTGAAAAGATTTTCATATGTAAGTACTGCAGCAGACATCTAAAACCAGGAAATCAGTAACATCTAGAGGAACATGGCTGTTCTATTCAAGCTTAGAACTGAAAATTGCTTCCACAGATCAACTGTTGGTTTTTATTACTCATATTTTTCTAGCATGCACGATGTACTAAAAACAATTGCAAGAGAAGCTTAAAAACTTATTATATTGCTGTCTCTGAAACACTCACCTATACAAAAGTCTTAAATGCCTTATAAAAAATCTGATTTACAGAAGCCTACAGGGCAGAACAAGGAGCTACAAGCTATTTTAGCAGCTGAATGCATAGCATGTTATCTGCAGAGCATGTTTCACCTGGATGGACATACAGAAGGCAAATGGAATGAAAACAAAACTAGCAGTCCAAAATGATACTGCAAACTTTAGATGCTCCAAAATAACAGGGTGGCATTTTGCTGTGTAGAATACCAACTGAGAGACTTACAAAAACAGGGAGTTCGAAAATAAAAGAGGGACAACAGATGTCTGTACCATAGAGCTGAAATACAAGTGACTTTCTTTTTATCTGCTATTTGGTATATAGCAAGAGAAGAGTAATGCAAAAGGAAGCAGAGAGGAAGGAAAAAAGCTGGAGTAAAACAGAGCCTTCTAAGAGGAATTGATGCAAAATTACAGAGGATCACAATCAAATTCCAAAATCTGAGGATGTCATCACTTATTCACTACCTTAGTTAGTGCCAATCTGAGGATCACTTGTTCACTTATTCACTACCTTAGTTAGTGCCTGGTTCTTAGCCAATTGGCAACACAAAATAAAATATATTCTTTTACATCATCACAGGACAATTACTAAGTCATAGTAATTCAATTATATGTGACAAATGTTCATACTCAAGCCACATCCTCAAATTCTGATTTCATACTTGCAATAGCTCCAGCACTCAAGTCAGTTTGTTGTCCTTTCCTTCATTACTAAAATTGAACAAATCTTTTGGCACACAGAGCTAAACAGCAATTAAACTGCCATTCAAAATTCTAAAATGAATTTCTTTTTTAAAAATTAGAAATGTGGACTTTAGAATGAAATGCTTTTCGAAATGAACACATTTGAAAAATATAATTTGTAAAAGCAAAAAGACAAAACATTTAAACTCTATCATGATGGTAAGTATAAAAATAACACAAACATGAAGCTTAAAACTGATTATTATAATATTCTATTCTCTTACCCCAGATCTAAACCTGACAATTTTTTACTATACCACCACTAAGAACCAAAGCATCAACAATATTTTACAAGTAGGATTATTTTGCTCAGTTTTCCAAATGGTGTGTTTTACCCTACCATCAAGGAGACAGTCGAAGTGAAGGCACTGTAGGTATTCTCTCTCTCTCATAAAGCCATTCAGGGGTGTTGCCCAACCTTCTGCCAGCACTTGCACCCACTGCATATCCACCTTGTAAGGAAATGGAGAAATAGAGCAGATGAAAGTTGTTGCTTCATTA